AGTAGGAGTAGGAGTAGGAGTAGGAGTAGGAGTAGGAGTAGGAGGAGTAGGAGTAGGAGTGGGAGTGGGAGTGGGAGTAGGAGTAGGAGTAGTAGTAGTAGTAGTAGTAGTAGTAGGAGTGGTAACAGTAGTAGTAGCAGTAGTAGTAGTAGTAGTAGTAGTAGTAGTAGCAATAGTAGTAGTAGTAGGAGGAGGAGGAGGAGGAAGAGGAGGAGTTCTGCACAGCTGCTGCTACTGGCACCGGCACCAGCACTCCGTTTTCCCACTCCTCGCTGTGATTTGGTTGTGTGACGGTATCCTGGTCGTAGTAACGAGTCGCACTTGTTGTGACGAGTCGGTCGTTGTAGTTGTGACCTGTTGTTGCAGTTTTGCTTGCGGTCGTGCTCGTCTTGGCCCTGGTGGTGGCAGTGGCGGCGATCACCGAAGCAGTCGTACACGCATAGCTCATGAGAGCCATTGTCGCATGCAGGAGCAGGAGCGACTGGACCGACTGGAGAAGGCCTACCAGCAACGCCTTTGCCTCGGAGGGAAACTGCTGACGTTCATCTCTCGTGTCTTGCCCCATCTGCCCGTTGCCGGCCGTTGCCGCCTGTTTGTCATGAAGCGGGCCGACAAGCAGTGTGAACGACTCGGAGTCGGTTCGGATCTTTGGCCGACAGGCTGTGGCCAGCGTTGGAACATGGGTCCATGACGACATGATCCATGAAGTTAGTGCCGAACGGCCCGACAAGCGTGCCTACTGTGGGCCCGCAGCTGTTGTCTTCAAGCTGTGCATGGTGCGGCGGTTTTCCTCCCGGCTCTTTTGACAGGTGCTGCCGCGGCACCCGACCTCACTTCCACCAGTGAACTGGAGGTCGGCTGCGCGCTTTGTTCTAACGGGGCAAACCTGATACACCTGCGAGCCTCTAAACACCTGATATTTGCCCTGCGCGACCTTTGCACGTGGCTGTAGGCCATGTTTCCGACGTTGGACGCGGAGCTCGTTCGCTCCATCCACGCAGAGGCTCAGACGCCCCAGGACGACGATGCATTCATAGCTTCTCTGCTGTTCAGATCCTGATTTGGCTGCAGCATGAACACGTAGCTTCCAAAGCTGGTTCTTGTGGAAAGCGGCAGCTTTGTCTGCGTATCACATCAGTGGAAGCTCACGACTTTCGGAGCGGGTGCGGCGAGTCGAGAATCAGAGTCGGAGTGCCGCAGAAGGGCATGGAAGCAGACTGTTTTGGCTGCTCGGTCAGTGAGGATGCCGTGGATACACTCTTGGCCCTCACCCTGGCCGCAGAGCCTCTCGAGGCACTTTCTCAGTTCTGAATCCATGTTCGGGGCTTGTGTGAATCCTGGTGTTCAATCTTTTGGGTTCGGTGCCGTGGCCCGGATGCTGGCAGGCACTCCCTACCTTGCCTCCGCGGGAAGTTGGCATGGATGCTCGGGCCTTTCCGAGTGTCGACGAAGCAGTGTTCCAGAGCACCCTCAAGTGAAAGCCGACTTTGCTTGGCTGAGGATCACGACAAGTTCCCAGCCCTAACAGACGCAGAGGGCTGGCAGGCAGGTGTGCTGGGAAGAGTTTCGGGATGCGGCGTTGCCAAGCAACCCTTCCCAGCATCGTCTGCAGGTTGCCAACCAAAAACTGTTTGATCGGGACCCGGAGGAGGCAGAGAATCGCTCCGCTGTGTTGTTCAGAGTTGCTGAAACCTGTGGCAAGTTGTGTCGGCACGCACACCTTGATTTGCGGCGGGTGATCACACTTTCATCGCCAGCACATCAAACGGGAAGGTTAAGTGACTTAAGTGGATAAAGTTGTAAAGTCCCACAAGGGTCTCTTCGCCCACGAAGCCCTGGAGTCGAAGCCTTCCGACCATCAGGACCTTGGCTCTGCTTGGCGAGACCGTGCAAAGGCCAAGCATGGGAGAGTCAATAGAGAAGGAGAGCCCCACCGTCTCGACAGAGATGCCCTGTCAGGCCGCGCAGGATATGCCCGCCCCGAAGGCCGATTCTGCCGAGGATGGATTGGATTTCTGAGTGCGCGTGTGGCGTGAGACCTCGTGTAGTACGACTCCTGTAGGCTGCTGTGGCGCCTGCAAAGCCGCGCTCGGGCCCTGCGAAGGCCAAGAAGGAGGCCGTGGCTGTGAAAGGGTCTGGTGACTCAGCCTGGAAGTTCCCAGGAATGTTGAAGGATAGGGCATTGATCAAGGCAGCACTGAGCTGAGACTTCCTTAGAATCCGATCTCGCCTGAGACCTTGATGCTGCGCTGAGACCGTAACGGGTTGGTGCTCATAGCAGTACATGTAGCAGGACACAGCAAGCTGGCTTACAAGAAGCTCTCCTGTTTGTGATTTGTTGTTGAGGCTCAAGAGAGCAGACGGTGTGGCTTAGTCCTACCATGGAACACTCACCATGTGCACGGACTGGTTTAGCCACTTAGGTTCCGTTTCGGAGGGTTTCCAAGTTATCGCCAGCTGGAAAGGCAGTACACTAGTACATTGATGCAGGTCTAGTGTAATTGGTAGCAACTTCAACATCTTCATCATGCCTAGTGTAACGAGACTGGGCTGACTCTAAATACACCAGGTTAAACGGTTAAACCATGGACGTGCAATCCAGGATTTGGATTGCCTGAAACATGGGGCTGCTGCTGTCGATCACTGGCTTTCACCAGCCATCGGCCTGGGACGAGCGGGCTCAAGCTCCTGCCGACACCTGGCACGTGTCTGATGGCTAAGTATCCCTGGGCTTGAATCAAAGCTATGTGCGACATGTGTTCATAATGTGCTCTTTTGGGGTGACGTCCTACATCCTAATTTGCCACAGCACATCCGGATTCTGAAGAGATTCAGGTGGTGCAGGTACTGTACCGGTCTGTCTCTCTCTCTCTCTCTCTCTGGCTGGCTGGCTGCCTGCCTACGTGTTTGTATGTGTGATTCCCTGGCTGGCTGGCTGGCACGGACAGTTAACTTTCGGAGCTGACTCGAGCTGAGGATGCCGACGAAAATGCTGAGCCGGAGCGAAAGGTGTCTCCTAGCAAGCGGGACTCTCGGTGGCTTCCATGATGATTAAACCCCAACCTAAGGCACGACCGCTGTAAGGTATCTAGTGTATCGGCATATAGGGTTTTAATTTCGATTCCCTGATGAGCTCCAGCTTGAGATGATGCCTTCCGGTTGCACAGAGGGCTCTCCACATAGGATTTGCTGTAAGTCAGGCCACGCTGTGACTCAATGGTCGTACGATACTTCCGCTCTGATCTTCCGTTTTGTGTGCAAGACGCAGAGCTCAGCCAGAGGTTCATGCTGTGATGACTCGTCTATGCATCAGGAGACGGAAACGAACATCACCAAGATTCTTCGGCTGATCGATTCCGACATGGTGGATGACACTCCTGGCGCGGTCAATGCGCTGACGCGAAAGGGGACCGCATTCGCTACTTATCTCTTGCCAGCCTACTCTTTTTTTCCCGAAAGACTTCAGAGACCCATGGCGTTGCTAGGTAAGCCTGGGGAGAGCGACCGGGAAGTTAATGTTTAATGCGTGAGGGGTTCTCAGATCAAGCTAGGCTAGCGGCTAGAACGAAGCATGGAAATCTCAGGTCACGCTCTGCAGCTCTTTAAGCTTCCACGCGCTTCGGCTCCTTGGAATCAGACTTCCTAGTCGCGGTGTAGGCTTCAGCTATGCTCCGCGAAGGTTGATCCTTCGCGATGCCTTCTTCCGTTCGGCGGCCACGTCGCCCAAAGCAATGATGAAGCGGAAGGTCGGACACTGCAGTGCTGTCCAAGTGCTGTCAGCTAAGAACACCGTCTCAAAAAGCAGCAGCAGAGTCAACCGGGAACGGTTGATAGATCGACAGCTACAGACAGTCAGACGCAGAAAGGATTCATGATTGTTGCTTGCCGGCTTGTTGCAGGGAACCAGCAGGTTGTGGTAGATGGACCTGAATGAACAGCATGAAACCCTGAACACTGAACCTGGACTCCAGGTGGCAGAGCACTACATGCTTTCTGCTATCCATGCCTTCAGCTGCTCCGTCTTCAGTTTGAGAAAGCTGCTGAGCAATCGGTCCGGAGCCTATCTAAGCCTTGGTTACGACGAGGTTTCTAAGGATCTGTTGAGTCTGTTTCTCGTCAAACGTCTTGCTATTAGTTCTTCCACGAGATGACAGGGTTCTTGACGCATGGTTCTGATGAACAAGCTGCTGGCAGCTCGAGGGAATGATGCTCTGCCGCCTTGTCCAGACTTGCGAAGATGAAGGCTGTCGACAAACTCTATGGTCGTTGATGCAGCAAAGCTGCAACAGACGTTGAGGCAGTGACAGGGCAGTGAAGAGATGGACGCGCGCAGAAGGTGCGGAAACCATTCCAAGCCCCTCCGGAAAGACACGCTTGCTCATGTGATAAAGCTTGTCTCACGACGGCTTTCGGAAGGGTCGGAGCTCAGGTGGACTTCTGCGGTCGGCTCGGAAGCCATGCTATGCTTCTCCCTGGGTTACACGAGCTACACGCTGCTTGCGCTCCGGAGCCCCTCGGCGCACGATCCCTAAGTTCTTAGAACATGCCGGCATCGGTCCTTGACAGCCATGCCGGGTGGAAGGCAGAAACGCCTGAGTTTGCATTCGAAGCTGAGCGCTTCAGCTCAGCGTAGCTTAGCCCGGAGCGCTTGTCCCTTCAAGGTCAGCTGTTTTCGGATCCGCTCTTTGCAGTGAACGAACTGGCGAATTTCGTCAAGCACTGGTCATGCCTGCGAGCGCAAGGCCTCCTGGGGTTTCCAACCGTCCGCAATGGTGTGCCATCGAATCGTAACGCAGGCAGTTTCGTCCTCCTGCAGGCACCGGCTGGATTGTGCCACTGCTCTTGTCTGCAGAGATTCCGACGGCCTGCCTGGACCTTCTGCGGATGCTGGCAGAGGCGTCTGAGAGCGCTCTCTCCTCCTCTCTCTTCCTCGCCTCCGCCCTCGCTCCGCCCTCTCCGCGCAGAGGTCGGCCTCTCACCTTCCGGCCTGGCCTGGCGCTTCTGCCCCTGCTCTGTTGATACGAATTATAAGGGCTAGGGCGGCTAGTAGGGCCTAGGGCAGTGCCGGGGGCGGCAGCAGTCCGCAGCCGAGGTTTGGGCGCTTTCACCACCAGCTTCGTTGCAGTGAAGGGGCTACTGCTGCCCATTTGCCTCGGGGCAGAGCCTTGGTCTACAGCTGTTACACTTCCATGAGCTGCAAGCCCACAGACCGCAACCTACAGTGACTCAGGTGATTAAAAGGCCTCGGCAGTATCCCGAGCTTCACCAACCAGCAGCTCGGCGTCAGTGCCTCACGGCATGTCCGTGTCTGTCCAAGGTTCCAACCTCATGCACTCAACGCTGAGCCTGTGGTGAGTCTTGTTTTACTTGCACCAGAATGCTCGAGAAAGTTTGGGAGAACCTTCCTGTAGTTGAGAGTCATGAACAGTGGATATGAGGAAGTTCCAGCGGTTCACCTACACCCCACGCTTCATTAACGGTAGCCGAGCATCCGAATTTCCGATCAAGTCACCTGCCCCCGAAGCAAGAATCACAGCAAACAGCACTGCTAGACTGCTCTCGCGGTGACTTCGTTCTCAATGTCAACAGCAGTCACAGTCAGATCAGTCGCAACACCAGTAGACTATCGCTGAGACCGAGCCAAAACAACTTGGCTTAAGGCTTTTCTACCCGCCAAGCTGGCCATGCTGGTTCGGGTGGTGATGAGTTACACCTGGCTCAGTATCGTTGCCCGACACTGGGCGCCTGTGGCACCTAAAGCATGTCAGAGCTTGTGTCGAGCCGTGCATTCGATTGCAGCTTCAGAGCAAATTCGGAGTGGCCTTGTGACAGTTCGGACAACGTGGCGGTCAGGGAAGACCAAGACAGTAGAAATAGGACTTCGGGCACCCGAGCTCAGGTGCCCACTCGTCATCTGCACCCTGAAGGCTACCTCGTCTCACCGAGCGCGCAGCGCCTTCCCCGCCTCCGCAGCCTGGTGCAAAAGCCTAGACCGGCCTAGCCTAGACCTAGCCTATAGACCTAGGTCATCCTAGGACCCTGGGTCGAGGCGTTTCCTAGCGCCTCGCAGAACAGGCCAGGCTTCAGGGCCGACCCTGGCACTGGACGCTCCTTCCCCTCGTAGACAGCATCGCCTGAGAATCGATGTTTCTGGACCGGCAGAGGCAACATCACTCCCAGCCTCTCCGACGTGTGGCTTCAGTTGAGACCCTTGGTGCTATGGTCACTTTTTGGTTGGGACCTGTGGCCTGTGGTTACACAGAGCTCAGAGCTCAGAGTTGAAGAGCCTTGAATGGCTTGCGAATGGCTTGCGAAGCGGAGAGCTGAGGAAGTGCCTACAGTCCACTTAGCCTCCTGTTCTTCTCTGTGCTTCAGGCACCTACGTACCTACGTACGTCTTTGCGACTTCGCCACGCAGTTGATAATGGTGCTGTGGTGGAGTTAGCATTCGTGTTTAGATGTCGACTTGCACGATACGATTGCTGCTGACGGTCATTATAAGCGGTCGTGGCAGCAGCAGTCGTACTCGTCATGCCGTCACACTCGCAGCTGTCGACATTCACGTCGTTCTTGCCTTTGTTGATTGACGGTGTGGTGATGATGTGGATGTGGGTTGCTGCTGTTTCCGCTCCGGACAAGTTGAAGAACCCCGAGTCAGAGCAAGTGGTTCGGCCCGAACGCAGCGCGATTCTGCACATTACCATATATTACCGTTATCCTGAGCTAGGAGATGCTGCATAGTACTTGTACAGAATTGTCTTGCCCTGAAGAAGGAACGTTCAACACATTTCAATACTATCCTTCTCAACCGAGACTTCTCAAGATCTGCGACTGAATCGCGAACTCTGTAAGCCGTTCGCTACATGCCGCCAGGCTTGCTACTTCGTAGGTCCTGCGGCGCTGCTCGGTTCGAAGCACGGAAGAATCCAGAGCAGCAGCAGCTCTGCACTTTGAGACGAGGGTGTACATGCATTGGTACTCGTAGTGAAATAGGCGGTCGTCACAATGATGTCAGCTGTGCTATCACCAGTCGGGAGTTTTCGTGAATCAAGCTTGGCGGGTGCAAGATCAGCCCAGGTTGCCGGCCATCCTCTATGCATTAGCACGGAAGCCAGGGCAACCTGACCAGCAAGCGCGGGATCTGCGGGGTGCGCTAGTCATCCGGCCAGGTGTGCATATTCCAAAGCCTAGCCTTTTCAGATTCGCAGGCTGTTGTGTGAAGGTACCGCTTGGCAGCTGGATCTGCCTTACTTGGCCTGGGAGTGCTGGCGGTGCCCCGGCAGCAAATCCACGAGACCTGAGTACCGGTGTAGATTTCACACCGGCTGCTGTCAATGTCTGAGAGAAGCTCCTGAAGCCAACGCATCACTTGCAGGTCTCGGCGATGCCGTGCAAGTCCCAACATCGAGAGCATTTGCATGGAACACACGAAGCCACTGCAGCCACTGCAGTTGCAAGTCTAAACCTGGTCCTCTTCGTGCTGCAACCAGTGCCCCTAGCAGTGTGTGCAGTGTGGTTCAGGCAAGACAGTCCCAGCAGGAGCGTATAGCCAAGTACTGTGCAAGAAGTACACTGACATACATACGGCATGATGAGCAAAAAGGGCTCCTCCTCGCCTCCCCCCCGTCTCACTTGCAAGATCTTTCAAGTACTCAGGCCTGGCCAATGCATTTAGAACGTCCTTACCGCAGCGGTGGCTCTGCGTTTTCAGAGCTTTTTCAGCGCTGGCTGTTCGACCGCTGCTCGTCACTGTTCATACCGACCTGGAGTTGAAAACAGTTGGATGTTCTTCAGACTCAAGACCCTTTCTAGAGTGGAAGCTTTGCAACTCCCGGTTGACTGAATGTTCAGGTCGTGTAAGCATGAAGCTTTTACGAAACACCGTTGCTTCACCTTCATAGTTTACACAAGTTGATGTTGCTCAAGAAAGACGCAGAGTTCCGTCAGGCACTGAGCACAGAATGCGTTTTGGGGAGAAGCTATGATGGGACGATAGCGATCTGTAGTACCGTAGTATCGTAGTACCGTAGTACAGAAGTACTCGCAGTGCTGCAGTCGTCGTGGTCGTCGCCGTCGCCGTCGCCGTCGCCGTCGCCGTCGCCGTAGTAGTAGTAGTAGTAGTAGTAGTAGTAGTAGTAGCAGTAGTAGTAGTAGTAGTAGTAGTAGTAGTAGTGGTTGTTGTTGTTGTTGTTGTTGTTGTTGTTGCTGTCGGCGTCGTCGTCGCAGTAGCATCACCAGTATAATTAGCAGTAGCATTAGCAGTAGCACTAGCAGCAGCAGTAGTAGTAGTCGTCGTCGTCGGAGTAGTCGCAGTCGTCTTCGCAGTTAGAAGTGGTGGTGGCGGTCGTAGCAGCAGCAGCAGCAGCAGCAGCAGCAGTTACTCCTGGTTCAACTGCTGCTCTGATGACGTAACTTCCGTGTGATGTGCAAGTATATACATATATACATACATATATATATATACATACACACATACATGCACATCTGTCAGAGCCGCACGGGTGGGGAGCAGATTCAGTCTCGTCAAGCTGAACTAGAGCGACATTCCGTCGTCTTCCCCGATATATCCCGATATCTGCAGCCGTTTGGTAAACACGTCGAATCCCTGCCCGTGCCAACCTGAAGATATTTAATCCCAAATATGGCCAGCGCTTGCCGCCTCCGCCGTGTTGTCAGGCTTGTTGCGCTACTTCTCATTCAAGGCGGCTGCGCATCGGTAAGACGCATCTCTCTGTCTGTGTGTAGCCTTTCGTCTCTTTCGTCTCGTCATGTCAGAGGCGGTCTTCGAGGAGCCGGGGCAAAGGGCGGACAGTTGGGCCGGCGCATCAAGGGAAGACGGGTTTAAAGGTCAGGCCTCAGCACACTCCGCGAGGAGCCCCTGCAGAAGGATCGCAGATATCTGCTTGCGGTGATGCCGTGGCCTTGTCGCACTGGTTGCCACTGCAGCGGGAATCATGCACTAATTGGCCTGCCTCAGTAGCGCCAGGTTGACGGCTTTGCGAATGCACCGTGAGTTGGTTCATGGTTGTACGGCTAACTTGGCTGTGAGATGCCGAGACAGAAAGAATCGGTTGCAAGTGTGCCGCTGTTTGTGCAAGCTCAGGTGCAGCGTATGTTTCTGGGAAATTGGGTTTCGATCAAGGTTCTTCGTAATTACTCATTATGGTGACCCGAAACCGTGTAGTTGATCGCTGGCTGGTGCAACCGTACGAAACATCTGTGAAATGGCTTCAGTCGCTGCAGTGCTTGCGCACCGCTCAGGCACGGTGTTATCCCCTTTGCGAACACGTTGCTCTCAATTACACTGCAAAGGCAGGTCACCGCGTACTCCGTGAGCTCAAAATCAGGGCTACCTGGGCAGACGTGCTGAAAGGGAATTCGGCTCTCACCGGAAGGTGAATATGTGTGTGTGTGTGAGAAAGTGTGTCCTGGTCGTACTCGTTATCGTGCTGTCGAATGCTTTTCCCATGAGCTTCACGCGGCTGGTCAGGCAGGGCTTCATCCCCAACAGCATCGGCGCAGACATTCTGTTTCAAATCCCTGTGCTGAGACTCCTGGCAGGTCTGTCTTTCTTCCTTGCCTGCCTGCATTGCTCTTTGAGGTTGAGGTTCGAGGTGCAAGTCTTTCAAGGTACGATCTTTTCAACAGCAGTGGCACGTTGGTCAGGGAGAAGGTCTGAACCAGTGTATGAGGGACAGGCGGAGGCTGCTGCAGCTGAGCTGTCAGCCGAGGACAGCTGGTGCGTTTCGGCGGCCTGATTCCGGCCACACCTGAATCCATCAAGCGAGTCACCGGGATTGAATATGCATGGCCTTTAGTTTGCTGAGTGCTGAGTGCCCTCAGTTTCTTTTTCTTCCTGGTCGAGGCTTTGGCCTGGCCGTACCCGAACAACATCACCTTCATCGTGCCAGGCGGCATTGCGGAAATCTTTTTGACTCTCAGCAGTGTTAATACAAACACAAATTTTGTGTGTAGATATACACAACAGTACATAGTACATGCGTACATACGTACATACAT